TGAATTGGCCGCAGACCAGCAACTATTTATATAGGATTTACATTGTATTTACAGAGCATTTACATTGTATTAGGTATTGTAAGTAATCTAGAGATGATTTAAAGTATATGGGAGGATGTGTGCAGGTTACATGCAAATACTACACCATTTTATACAAGAAACTTGAGCATCCTTGGATTTTGGTGTCCGAGGGGGTCCTGGAAACAATCCCCCAAAGATACTGAGAAATGACTATAATTAAAAAAAAATTTTATGTAGTCATAAATGTCTTTCTTTTCCTTTATGGTTTTTAGATTTCTTGTCAACCTTATGGCCTCCCCTACCTCAATATTATACAGATTATATGCTTCTTAATTTTCTTTTTCTCTTTTCACTGATTTTGGATTTTTTATACTCATACCTTTAATCTACTGTATCTGGAATTTTTTTTTCTTTTGTGTGATGTACAGAGTCTTTTTGTTTGTTTGGTTTTTTCCAAATGGATAGACAATTATGAAGGTAACATTGATTAAATAAGCATTCTTTCCCTGGTAAATTGAAATACCATAGTGTCATAGAAAAAGTTCTTATACACACTTGGGCTGTTTCTGTCCTCTTTGTTCTTGCCATGGATATATTTTGTTTATTCCTGTGTGAGTACCTTGTTTTGAATAAAGCAGGTCTCCCTTCTCTTCTTCAAAATTTTCTTGGTTATCCTTGGATACTTGTTTTTCTGCATAAAGTTTAAAACTCCCATTGGGTTTAAAATTAGAATTATATTAACTACAAATATTAGTTGAAGAGGGAAGGATATTTCTATATTAATTTTTCTCTTTCAGTAACATGGTATCCTTCTATTCATACCATATTTTCTGTTTTTCAATAAGTTTTTATAGTATTCTACTATAAGATTTACAGGATTCTACTTCTTATTCTAAATGGTTATTTCTAGAATGGGCAAAAGTTATTGGATTCTGCATGGCTATCTTATATCCAGATACCTTTCCAAATTCTCTCATTATTTTAGCTATCTCTTGTGTTTCTAAACATGTATTATATGATCTGCAAACAGGAAAAAAGTCACAAATTTTCTATTATTTATACAGATTTTTTTCATTATCTCATGCATTAGCTAAAACCTCTAAAACAAAGTTGAATGACAAAGGTACCAAGCATCAATGTCTTATTTATTTAATGGAAGTGTCTTCAGTATTTCACAGTTTAAGCTGATGTTTGCTGTTTGATATTGGTAAAGGTGTTTATCATCAGAGCTGCCACCTTAGATGTGAAGTATGGAGTGCACAATGGGGCAACATCTAAGAGGAGTTTGTTTTCTCCCAGTGCACTGGATCAGTTTAAAGTATCTGTTCCTTGTAGGTCAAAGGTATAAAACAATCTGGACCTGATGTCTTTTTTAGTGATAGATTTCAAATGATGTTACCAGTTGCTTATAATGTTATTGGTCTGTTTAGGTTTTCTAGTTCCTCTTGGGTCAAATTTGGTACTTTATATTTGTCAAGAAAACAATCCTTTTTTCTTTCTTTAAGATTTTTAAGAATATTACCATATATTAATAATTTAATAAATTTAATAAACTGTCCTAATTTTAAAATATTATTTATATCTATGACTATATTTCTTTCTTATTCTTAATGTTGTATATTGTGCTTTTTTCAATCAGATTTGCAGTGGTTTATCTATTTTATTCTACTTGTTTTAAAGAACCAGCTTTTCATTTTATTTGTAATTTCTTCTATTTTTAATTTATGGTTGTGATAGGCTAAATCATGCCGCCTCCCAAAGATGTCCACAACTTAATCCCTGCAAGCTATGAATACGTTATGTTACATGGCAAAAGATGCCTCGCTGATGTAATTAAAGTTATGGATTTTCTGATTGGGAGAAAACTCTGGATTATCTGGGCAGCCCAATCTAATTACATGAACCCTTTCAAAAACAGAGAACTTTGGCTGGAGGAAGAAGAGATGAAGAGGAGAAAGAAGGAGAAGTCAGAGAGATTCCAAGCCAGTGAGACAGAGGGGGCCATGTGCAAGGAACAGAGAGAGGAGCTAAGGACAACCCTCAGCCCACAGTCAGTGAGAGTATGGGGACCTCAGTCTTACAACCGCAAGGAACTAGCTTTTGCCAACAACCTAAATTAGCTTGGGAGGTGATTCTACCCCAGAGTCTTTCCATAAGAGCCCAGGCCAGCTAACACCTTGATTTTGACCTTGTGAGACCCTGAGCAGAGAAACCAGCCAAGCCAATCTGGACTTCTGATGTAGAGAAACTGTGAGGTAATATATTTGGGTTGTTTTAAGCCACTACGTTTGTGGTAAATTGTTATGGCAACAATAGAAAACTAATACAACTGTTCACGGATTTTTTTTTTTTTTTGGTGTTTACTTTTCCTTGTATATTTTGCTGTTCTCTTTTAGTTTCTTTTTTTTTCTCCTGGTTTTATCGAGATATAATTGAACTTCAGTTTCTTAAGTGAATACTCCATTTACATATTTTAAGTTTTTCTTTCAATAAATAAAGGCATTTAAGCCTATATTCCTCTGAGAACCATTTTATCTAACACCCATATATTTTCCAATAAATATTCTTTTTTGCTAATTCCTAGATATTTCTTAATCTTATATATTAAGATATAGAGCACAGTATAAATTGGTTTTTAGAAATTCCAGATTAAAAGGTATATCTAGTATAGGAAACTTTTTTTTTTAGCTTTAAAAGCTTTTATTGTTATACAGAAATGCATGTGTATTTAGAAGATACAAAAAGTGAAAAGAAAAATAATCAACTGGAATCCAGCCACCTAGAGATCATTTCTGTTAACATTCTGATGCATATCTTTCCAGATGTTCAGAGAATGCCTTGGCATATAACTAACGCACTAAAGGCATTTTAACTACTGTACTCAGAACCATAAACCCTCTCACAGGCAAGCTACATAAAGTTTTGGGTAGTCTCCATTCTGTTCCTCAGAAATATGGCCGTCCACTGAGGATGATCAAACATGGGCTGAGTGATGGTGGGCATGTTGTGGAAACAGCAGGACCATGTGGGGAGAGCTCAGGATTGGAAAGACCAGCGCCTGAGTCCCAGCTCTGCCTCCTGCTGTGTAACCTGTGCGTCCTCAGCATCTGTAAAGACTGTCTCACTTGAAGGACTACGTGAGGTAAGCAGAATGCCTCACACTGCGCTCTGGCTCTAATATCCTGCATTCTGGTGTGGCACAAAGGAGGTGAGGCAAAGGGAGGGGAACAAACCGCTGAAAGCAGAACAGAAAGCTAGGAAAGTCCTGAAGAGATGCTAGTAGACCAAGGGGGTCCCCAAAGCAACTGGCAGCATCTCAATGGCCCCTGCTCTTGCCATCCTACTCTCTGAAGGGAGAGGGTCCACCAGCTGGCAGCAGAGGAGGACGCTGTCTCCCAGATGAGAACACTGAGGGAAAATCAACTTTGAGAGCAGGAGATCTGGGCTAGGCTCAGCCACCCAATTTGAGATATTCTCCTTGTTCCTTCTTGATCAGTAAGATCATGTTTGATACAGGGTTCTCCCTATGCTCCCCTTCTGTCTGGCACCTTTCAATCCACCAATCCCTACCTCCAGGCATGCTAATGCAAACTTAAATTATTAATAGTGTCCATATAGATATCAACTTTTACTTACTTAAAATTCAAAAAGGCTTAAGGCTTTAAAAACCTTACTTTAAGAAGCAGAAAAATGACAAATACATGTCTGCTAAGAGATCCTTTTTGAAAGAGGTCATACATTCATATATTCTAAAATATGCCTTGAGGTTTTATGAACTCACTCCAGTTTCTTCTCCTATATCCACAGAAAAGTAAGTTCACAATGATGTCCCAATCAGGAGTTGGATATATGTACTAAGCAAGGGAAGTGAATTGACATAGTTTGTCAAAAAAATTGACAAAGATTTTTCAACAAAATGGTTAACACCAAAAACATTAAAAATTAACCTTTACTTTTGTGATCTAGAACAGCCAAATTCCTATCTCACTCCATTAACTTACATTTAAATATAGTGCTCTTAAGTGTATGTGTTTTTTGGGGACTTCCCTGGTGGTCCAGTGGTTAAGACTCATGCTCCCAATGCAGGGGGCCTGGGTTCGATCCCTGGTCAGGGAACTAGATCCCCCATGCCACAACTAAGAGACCGCATGCGGCAACAAAGACCTGGTACAGCCAAATAAATAAATACTTAAAAAAGAGTATGTGTTTTTAGTAAATGAAGACATTTAATAAATGAAATGAAAATAAAATAATCACTGAGCCTTCAAAATCTAACAAAGACGTAAAAATTCACCTCTTTACTCTTAAAGTTAAACCTAGAAAATAGAAGTGACAGAGAACATGAGAAAGAAATCTATAGCTCTTGCCTATGCTAGTTGATCCAGCACATGGAATTTAAAGTCCAAACAATGGCAGCCTAGATATTATGAGATGGCAATTTCTCTACATACATATGTCCATATTTAAACCCTTACATTCAAGCTCATAACTGAATTCTGCAGTTCTGGTGCCCCCTCAGGGGGAAATACTTATAATGGAAACAAATGGAACAGTGACTAGTGGGAATGAGATGATTTCCAAGAAACTATGAATGAATGGAAAACATCGAAAGTATCTGAATTGTTTTACTTTTTATATCTTGTTTAGAAATACACTGAGAGGGCTTCCCTAGTGGCGCAGTGGTTGAGAGTCTGCCTGCCAATGCAGGGGACATGGGTTCGAGCCCTGGTCTGGGAAGATCCCACATGCCGCGGAGCAGCTAGGCCCGTGAGCCACAATTACTGAGCCTGCGCGTCTGGACCCTGTGCTCCGCAACAAAAGAGGCCGCGATAGTGAGAGGCCCGCGCACCGCGATGAAGAGTGGCCCCCCCTTGCCGCAACTAGAGAAAGCCCTCACAGAAACAAAGACCCAACACAGCCAAAAATTAATTAATTAATTACTTTTTAAAAAAATTAAAAAGAAACACTGAGATACTGACCTGTAAGATGTAGAGAATGACAGCTGTCAGTCCAACCCAGCTGTGCAGACTATACATATTGGGGATGTTCCTGGCATTGTGGAAATCAAAAACAGCCACCAGAGAAATAATTGCAAGAATGGCAGCAACAGCGTTTAACCCTGCATGGATGGATTTCATCAGGAGCTTGCTGCATTTCCAGGTCCATGGCAGTCTGTATACGATGATGGCTAAAAAGAGACAAAGGTGGACAGAATGTAGTGGTGCTGTTTTTTTAATCAACACAAGATGAACAATTTGACACAGTGAACACTCCCTTTTGTGAAACCCTTTTCTCATGGCTTCTGCTTCCCCCCTCTTCCCTGCCTCTCAGTGGTTCCTTCTTGGGCTCTTTGCTGGCATCTTCTTTACTCCCAACTTATGAACGAAGCTTGCTGCCTCTCAGGCTCAGTCCTAGGATTTTTTTCCTCTCTCTGCTCTCTCTCTGCGTGATCTCATTCACTCTTTCATTAAAATGCTACCTGCATGGTAGGGACTCCAAAATTCTCATCTCCAGCCCAGAACTGTCTTCTGAACTCCACACCCACATAATCCAATGGCTTCTTGACATCTCCACATAGATGCCTCTCAAATATTTTAAACTCAACATGTCCAAAATGAAATTCTTAATCTTATGATCTGGTTTCTTCATATAAGTGTCTTAATTTGACAAGAAAAAGACAGACTAAACAATAGAAAAATATGTGCAAAGATTTAAATAGACAAAGTATATCCAAGAGTATATCTAAGTATTTCACAGAAGAGTATATCCAAGTGACTAATAAACATAATAAAGATATCAACTTCATTGGTCAACAGAGAAATGAGAATACCTCTACCACATATCTGAATGGCTAAATATGGAAAACACTGAGTATTGGAGAGGTTGTGAAACAATCAGAATGCTCATGTTCTGCTGATAAGAGTTTAAATGAGAACAAACACTTTGGAAAACTAGCAGCAGCTACTTAAGCAAAATATATGCATACCTTATGATCTAGTAATTCTGTTCCTGAGTATATGCCCCAAAGAAGTTTGTACATAAGTTCACCAAAAGACAAGTATAAGAATATTATTACAGCACTATTCATTGTAGCCAAAACCTGGGAACTTCCCAATGTCCATCATTAAGAGATTGAATAAATAAACTGTGATATATTCACACCATGGAATAATATACAGCAAAGAGGATGAATGAACTAAAACTAGAACTTCACCCAATGATATGGACCAACCTATAATGTCAATGCCAAGAAACCAGACATAAACAAGTATATACTGTATGATTCAATTGATATGAAGTATAACAACAGGCAACACTCATCTCTGCAATAAGAAAAGGCAAGATATTGGTTGCCCTTGTGAGGAAGGGGTATAGCAACTGGAAAGGAATGTACGAGGGATTTCTGGGCTCCTGCTAATAATCTGATTTTCAAACTAGGTGTTGGTTACATAAGTAATCACCGAGGGAAGATTCATTAAGCTATATATTTATATGTATACTTTTCTGCATGTAGATTAAACTTTAACAAAAAGATACTTAAAAAGCTTTTTTTTAGTGTCCTGGCTTAAGCAATAGGTTATATACCCACCTCACCCAGCATGCAATCATTTTTTGTTCTGAAGACAATATCCTGCCCCAACCCACCCTCATTCCACTCCTTCAGTCCATGTCAGGAAAAATTTAGATATCTGGAAATATATGGCGGATTGAAAATGTTTAAAGAATACTTCCTTGGAAAATGGATTCTATTATATCCGCAGTGAATCATGTATATTTCTTAATTCCAGAAAAGAAGAAGCAGACACTGCTGCTGCCTTTTCCCTTCAAAGACATTTATAATTTGAATATATGAAACTTAATTGGATCATAAAAATGTAAGATTATCTTGTCCATTTTCAGGCAGAAACACAAAAACCCTACAAAGATAGATGTGAATTCAGCCTCTTTAGAGCTTTCAGCACAAGATGTCAATCTTCCTATTATTTGGTTCCATTCCAACACTTGACAGGCCTCACCATTAGGACAGTATTCCTTTTATGTAATACAAATTCTGAAGGACTACCACGTACTAATTTTAGTGCATATATGTCTATCTTATAAATGATTGATTATATTTCCTTAAGGATATGGAAACTTTGTAGACAATCATTTATATATTCAACAAATTTTTTCAAACCATTTAACACAACACCTTAAAAGGTACACTTTGTTTTTTTGGCCATGCCGCACAGCTTGCGGGATCCTAGTTCCTTGACCAGGGATCGAACCCTGGGTCCTGACAGTGAAAGTGCCTGAGTCCCAACCACTGGACCACCAGGGAAATCCCAAAAGGTACACTTTTAAAAGCTAGTTCAGGGAATTCCCTGGTGGTCCAGTGGTTAGGACTCAGCAGGTCCACTGCCATGGCCTGGGTTCAATCACTGGTCCGGGAACTGAGATCCTGTAAGCCCTGCCGCATGGCCAAAATAATTAATTAACTAATTAATTAAAAATAAAAGCTAGTTCAAGGCCCCTTCTCATCCCTACTTCATCCTCTTTGAAGGCAAAAATGTGTCTTGCTGTTTCTCCTTGTATCCCCAGAGCCTAGGACAGCCCTGGGCTCAAAATATGTATGCAGCTCCGTTAGTATTTTTTTTTAACTTATTTTGAGATACTGTAGATTTACATACAGTTGTAACAAATAATACAGAGAGATCCCATATACTCTTCACACAGTTTCCCTCAGTGGTAACATCTTACATAACTACAGTATAGTATTACATCCAGGAAATTGACGTCAATATAATCCATTAACCTTTTTCGAATTTCAGTAGTTTTATTTGTGTGTGTATGACCCTTAAGTTTTTGTTTTTTGTTTTTGCGGTACGCGGGCCTCTCACTGCTGCGGCCTCTCCCGTTGCGGAGCACTGGCTCGGGACGCGCAGGCCCAGCAGCCATGGCTCATGGGCCCAGCCGCTCCGCGGCACGTGGGACCCTCCCGGACCGGGGCACGAACCTGCGTCCCCTGCATCGGCAGGCGTACTCTCAACCACTGCGCCACCAGGGAAGCCCTAGTATTATTTAAATAAATAAATGTAAAGCACTTTCTGCAGACTGATCAAAGTCCAGAAATCAAATTGATGTCAACTCTAACACTGTGGTTTCCCCTCCTCATGCTTTTCCTCCTCTGATGACTCAGCGGCACATCCTATATGATCTAATGGGTTTTTTGGTTTTGGTTTGTTTTTTGCATTTTAAATTATTTTTATACTTAAAATTATATCATGAACATTTCACATATCATTAAATTATCCTTGAAAACATGAATTTAAGGACTGTACAATATTCTCATACATATTGGATTTTCTAGGTAATAATCAATTGTATGTTGACATACAATTGACATATAGATTATTTCCAATATTTACTAACTTCAACAAAAAGTTGAAGTAAAATAAATTTCACTGTCGTAATTATACGATTCTTTCGTTTTTAAGGAAAGCAAATGCCTCTTTACCCACAGACTTAGTAACCTTTTATCTACACAATCGAGTTTTTTGCAATCAATCTGTGATCAGGCAGCAGTAAAATAAAAATCTACAAAATATTAAAACCTAATAACGTGGGGCTTCCCTGGTGGTGCGGTGGTTAAGAATCTGCCTACCAATGCCAGGGACACGCGTTTGAGCCCTGGTCCAGGAAGATCCCACACGCCGCAGAACAACTAAGCCCGTGCGCCACAACTACTGAGCCTGCACTCTAGAGCCCGCAAGCCACAACTACTAAGCCTGCGAGCCACAACTACTGAAGCCCGCACGCCTAAAGCCCGTGCTCCGCAACAAGAGAAGCCACCGCAATGAGAAGCCCACATACCGCCACAAAGAGTAGCCCCTGCTTGCCACAACTAGAGAAAGCCCACGCGCAGCAACGAAGACCCAACACAGCCAAAAATAAATAAAATAAATAAATTTATTAAAAAAACCCAAAAACCTAGTAACGCATTTCCCTTTCTCCTGGTTTAGTCTCATTTATTACACACACACACACACACACAAACACCTGAGGCCTTGCAAGGTAGTAGGCACCATGCTAAGTGCTTTACAGGTTTACATTATAATCCTCGACTCAACTGTGTGAGGAAGGTATGTTTATTATTACCATTATGCAGAGCAGGAAGCAGAGGCACAGAGATGTGAAGTAGTTTGCTCAATAACATTTAGTGTTTTTAAATTAATATCACTGTTGTTATCATCATTGTGGTCACCATCATTATATCCTCCAGGCACCACCCCAGGGGAAGGAATCTTAGATGAGGGAACTTGAACATCCACATGCGAAAAGGAAATACTCAGGATGTTTGCTCAAATAGCAAATTATAAGCAATAACTCACAACAGCTTTTCCTCCCCAATCTGGGTCATATTATATCAAAAACTAACCTCAGATGTTAGAAATCAAGAATAGTTATCATGACTGAGGAGAGTTACAGGGGTAACCAAGGGGATTCTGGGGTGCCTGGAATGTTGTTTCATGATGGGTACACGAGTGTGTTCATGTGATGAAAACATGTCATTTATGATTTAGGTACTTTTCTGCATGTATGTGGTTCTTCAATTAAAAGTACCTTAAAAAGGTTGCCCAAAATTCATAGACAACTATGCTCCCAATGAAGAATTTTCACTCTTCTCAATACTACGGGCACCACAGAGAAATGTGTCAAATTTTCCAAAAAACTGAAGTCTACCCTCTTTGAGTGTCAAAACTTGACTTTTAAACTTTTCACATTTACTCAAATGTTCTTCAAATTGGTTGCACACTAGCTTTCCTTCTCTAGCACTAGCATGAGTGGAACACAATTTAATCTTCTATTGACAGTTTGCGGGTTATCAACAAAACACACTGTCCTATTACTATAAGAGAAAGTCCCTAGGAACTTTCGAAGCAGGAGAGGTACTTGCCTCTGATCCAAACGGGCCCAGACAGTTAACGTTTCTCTTTTAGTCCCTGGGTCTAGTGTAGAATTTTTCTATCTCCTCTTTTAGTTTCTTGCTCAGGTTAGGGTGCCTGCCTCCAACCTCTCCCCTCCATCAGCCTGCATTATCTATTATTCCTACCTGTTTTAAGTTCTATTTAAGTTTATAAACTTTTATGATGGCAAAAATTTTAACATCTGTTAAATCTGGGCGATGAGTACATGGGGATCTGTTAT